ACACACAGGGACACACACAGGGACACACACAGGGACACACAGAGGGAAACACACAGAGGGAAACACACAGAGGGAAACACACAGGGACACACACAGGGACACACACAGGGAGACACACAGGGAGACACACAGGGAAACACACAGGGAAACACACAGGGACACACACAGGGACACACAGGGAAACACACAGGGACACACACAGGGACACACACAGGGACACACACAGGGACACACACAGGGACACACACAGAGACACACACAGGGACACACACAGGGACACACAGGGACACACAGGGACACACAGGGACACACACAGGGAAACACACAGGGAAACACACAGGGACACACAGGGACACACAGGGAAACAATGGAACAAAGGATGAATAAAGACACAGGCAGGACACAAGTGGGGAACAAACAACAGCTGAGACTAACTAAGGCTAACAAGACAGGTGAAGTGAAACTAGGAACAAGAAGCAGAAGACAAACAATTACCAAAAAAAAAAAAAAAAGAGTGACAGTCTAAACACAGAAACACAATGTCCTGATGCATGCTCAATTATACGGTTAAGGACATCCTGAACGTCGTGTTTTCAGTGGGAGAAACATTTCACCACTCATCCAACTGAGGATGAGTGTTCATCTTCACCCCAACCTTACAAACAGTACATCTGATTAATGACTGAAACTAGCAATGGGCTGTGAGGCCAGTTCCATGATCAGTAATATGCAAATTAGCATGACCATTGATGAACGACCATCTCTGAATCGAGGAGGGGGCCTAAGGGTACATCTTTCACAATCTTACAATGCTGTGATTGCAGCCATTCCCCAACTCTCTGTCAATGGTACTCGTGGCCATTGATCAGTTTTTTTGTCTTCTCTTGGCGGCATTTCTGTTTGCATGACTTCAAAAATCATTATTCTGGCAAATCCTGGCACGGGTTATCAAATGGTCAACTTAAATATTTCACCTGATCGTGATCACATTACATCAAAGCCAGATAAAGTTGGTCTGTCGGCCTTCAATAAATGATTTGGGAACAAAACAAGCTTTTAGTAGTGTCGGTGGTCAAAGTCAATGATTGTTTGTGGGGGTTTTGTTGGTTTTCGTTGTTTTTTTTTAGGGGAGGAGCAAGATATCAAGAGCAACTACTTATCCTAAGCTTTACTTCTTAGCAACCTTTTTAGCTCCTTAAGATAAGTATCCTAATGGGAAAAAATATAAGCACATATTTAGTAGCTTAGCCGCATAGATGGGTAATATATGTGATTTTGTTGACAGCAGGTAGGAGAATGTGGGGTTAAGACAACCATGTCTGGCCTGTCTTTGTCTAAAATATGATCTTAAACCTCCTGAGATGGAGCTGCTAAGTTTAGTCATAAGTCTAAGTAAGTCAAGGATTCCTGGAGCTTAGAGGTCACAGGGTTAGAGTCATCTCTCAGCAGCTTCTTTATTAACTTGCACACATACACACACAGCAGGAGTAACAGAAACATACACGCAAAGATCACACACAGAAAGTGATGACGTAGCCTGTTCACACGTACAAAGCATCTAGTGTCCTTTTCTATGTGGAATGAAGTCAATGGTAAAAAAATGTTTAAACCAATGCAAGTGTTTTTGGTGCTCAACGACTCGTTTGTCACATTTGTCATGTGTTGCTCGTAAATGACAAAGAATAAACACATATTGAACACAAACACTGGTGCAAAAAAATAAAACAGAACACATCGAATTAAGTCAGCATTTGATTTGCACTGAATTCGTTTTGCACCATGATGAAGGATTTTCTTTAAAAACAAAAGAAAGAAAAAAACAAAAGCAACAGATTACATAAAAAGACAAAACTGGGTGAATGCTTGGAACAACCTACCTGCCAAATACCGAGGAGAATGCACAACATAAAGTCCCTGATGAAGATTGCTAAAGCAGTTATTGAAATGCCTCTTCCAGGCAGCCTAAGTATTGTGTTTACTTTGGATCAGACTTCAAAATAAAAGTGATTCGTGTAAAAATCTTGTTTTGGAACTATGCACAGCTTGGTCTTCTTGCAGTGCCATTCACAAGTGTTTGAAACACATCTCTACAACAGAGGTGGAGATTGCAAAGCTAGCCTACAAATACATTAAATTTTTAAACAATCTTGCTAAAGTAAATCAGATAATCCTTTAGAAGGAAAAGGCTGCTCACAGCAAATATTGATTTTATTTTTCTTTTCTCGTTTACTGCATTCTCTCTAAGATTAAGAGATAACTAACACATTTACCGTATGGGATACAATGTCTGATCTACATGTGCTTCCTTTGTTGAGGCTGGGGAAACACAGGCCAAACACTTGTTTAAGTGGAATACACACACTTGGAATTTGGCTTGGATGGTTACATCCAGCCCAACCAAAGAAACAAGACGAAGCCGCCACATGTGAGCCAAACAAACAATATGTTACCGTACACTTGAATGGACGTGTAACTGCTGTGCTGTTTTTAGTGTTCTGGTCACTGAGTGTTCAGTCTTCTTCTTCAACAGTTACGAGTGTGTGTGTGTGCACATGTTTACATATCTTTGTGAGGACAGAAAATTGGCACGCTGCTATACCTGCGGGGACGTCCCCACGAGTTTGAAGGCATTTTTGAGGGTCAAAATGTGGTTTTAGTGTCAGGGTTACAATTGGGTTATGGTTAGGTTTAGGCTGAGGGTCAGGGTTAGGCATTCATTTTTGATGGTTAGGGTAAGCGGCTACGGAAAGCATTATGTCAATGAGATGTCCTCACGAAGACATGAAAACGAGCGTGTGCGTGTGTGCATTACCACTGGGGTTGAATTGCATGCAGGATATAGGTTTGTCGTGAGCTGGGAAGTGAGCCACCACTCCTTCACCGTCCGAGTCCTCACTCACCAAGACCTGGATCGTATGAACACACACACAAACAAAATCCAAATCATTTTCTAACAATGAGAACATTAAACCCAGAGAGGGACTTTCCCCTGCTCAAGGATTTCTCTCCACATTTTGGTTTGGTGTGATATTGTCACCACACTAAGCACTGTTTTTTGACATCACCCTGCTGTGAAACAGCTGGAAGTTTAACTCCTTTCCGAGTGTGCCATTGCCCTCTTGTGGACAGAATATAATAAGCATGTTACCTGAAATAAGACAAGTAAGCACTTTGTTGAAAAACCCACTTCTTCTGGTCAAAGAAAATATGAATCATCATAATTTGAGCTGTATTTCATTAGTGCTAGCGCTTTACAAAGATGCTGTACTGAGACCAGTGTGGACAGGATATGGCCTAACAACAGAGACAAGAATATGGACAAATTTACTTTGGCAATGATGTGGCTTTTCACATGTGGCTTTGACAATACCCCATGACACAGGGTCTTCCCGTAAACAGGCACAAACTGCCATCAAATGCAGAACTGGCTTTCCCCTTGTGCAACTTGCCAACAAAAATGAAATTGTAAGTTATTTTGTACAACTAGAGGCTGCTCCTAAATCTCCATACAAAGTCTGCTGTCAAGACTGGGACAAATCTAACACAGGCTGTGCTGAGACCAGGAGCTGGCAGAAAACTCCTTTAGTCACACAGAGAGATTAGACATAAGCCCAGACATGAGGCCACTTTGTGCAGAAGTACCGGTGTTTGAGAACACACACTCTTGTTTAAAAGAGTTAAATGTGGCCCCGGTGTTGCACTACGGATGTCAGGAAAGCTGGCCAAACATTTAAAATCTAAGCTAGTCCAAACAAGATAGCCTCTAAAAACTAAAAGGATTTTGTCTCACACTCCAAGCAAGATCTTAAGGATCCAGGGGGAAAAAGGGGAAAAGGCGGGAGAACAGCATGAACAGAAAGAGGCTGGTGACATGAAGCAGATCACTTTTATTACAGTGCAAGCAGACAATGTTGTTCTGTTAGGGAATCCTGCTGGAGCCCTTTGAAACAAGAGTGTCCTCCAGAGAACCGAGCCCCTGTTACACAGGGGAGTGTGTGTGTGTGTGTGTGTGTGTGTGTGTGTGTGTGTGTGTGTGTGTGTGTGTGTGTGTGTGTGTGTTGAGGCTGCTGTTCCAAATAAGGAGCAGTGATACAATGTAGCTCCAACCTCATCCAACTGGAAGCGATGGGAATGTCTTGGATCCCCACAACGACACAGGAACTCACCTCAATCATATTCCTGACTTCTCTCATCTCTCCAGAATTTACACCTCCAACCTCCGTCTTAATACCCTCTCGACTGTCCCCACCCCTACTACTCCCTTCAACCTCCATTTCTCCTACACTCTGAGTGCACCCCTCCCTCCTTGCCTGGCCTCATCAGTGTTTACGGCCAGTGTATGGTTACAGTGTGTCGCCTGGTGACAGAGTGCAGACCCACTTCTGAAGGCTTAGATCCAACTTATAAGACTACGGGCTGGTTACAGGGCGGTTACAGTCGCAGAGGAAAGGAGAAGGCAGAATGTGTGTGGTGATAACATCACTGACAAACTGTACTACGTACGAAAACACACCTCATTAAAAATGTGACAGCTCCTGCAGTGTGATTAATCACAGTTTGGAGAGGCTGAGGAAAATTCGGGGATAAAAGCTTTTAGCATTTCTTTTGCAATTAAGAGGAAGCCAACTGGTCAATCTGTAAACGAGGTTAGTGCAGCATATTTTCATTCTTACTATAACACACACCTAAGCTAGTCAGACCCAGAGTCAGGATAATAGATGCAAACTTACCTTAGTCATTTATCTATTTTTGGGGGGACACGTTCTGATTTTTTTAGCGGCTTCCTTTCATTTTTATTAGACTGTTTATTGTGATAACTCCTGGTGACCTTTGTTGTTGGTTGGAAGTTGTTTTCAAATTGCACTGCAAAATAATTACATGCACCAAACATTTACCAATATACTTTTCTATTTATTTATTTATTATTGCAAATACATCATTGTATACAACTTTAAAGGTTGAGTAGAGTCGTGCTCGGTGTTGCATCAACCATAAGTCATGCTTTGAAATATCAGTGAACAATAAAAATTTATTTTAGCAATTTAAAATTATGTTATTTGGTTTGTTGTGCATTTTTATTGCTTAATATTTATATTTAATGTATAATTTTTTAACTTACTAAATTTATTAATTTAGCTTAATTTTAATTGCCTTAACAAATGCATCAAAGCTACAATGGGATTAAAAAAATATCCCCAAAAATATTAATGTATTACTTCTCTAAACAGGGCACAATAACCTGAAGACCATCTGTAACACTAATAATGCCTTTTTGCTGCATTACGCCACAAAATTGTAAACCACTGACAGCTAAAGTGAATAACAACAACTTTCTTGTTATAATAAAATAAACAGCAACAGCCTCTCCAAGCATCTCCTCTACAAAGTGTAAAAATTATATATATATTAAAAAAAATTACTCCAAAAAATACGTCCGGAAAATGAATTTCCTACAGTCTTAAATCCAGGACCTGATTTAGCATGTGGTGCATTGAGTCAGCCTCGAGCTTCATGTCAGGTTGCAGCTGCATGTTTACAAAGTGTCTCTGTCACCAGCACGGCCAAAACAGACAGAACTCTGGCTAAAAGCTCAGTTGTTAAAATATGCAGCATATCTAACTCACACCTTTAGGTTAGTCGTGCAGAGCCAGGTAAAAGAGACTGAGTGAGTCCAAGCCACCAAGCCTGCTTCTTGCCAAGCCACAGAGGCAAAGTTTTATTTACCTGGGACATACATGATGAGACCAAGGAAGCAAAAAGCCCATTTGCTGTGTGTGTCTAAGCAGTAACTTTCTATAAAAGTCACTTAAACAAGGCTGTCA